GCACAGCCCATAGTTCTTCAATGGTTACTATGATTCTTCTTATATTAGTATCATCATCATCATCATCATCATCATGACTGTCATCACTAATTGAGTATCTGCTATATGCCAGGTCAGTATTAAAATATTGGCTGAATAACCATGAGCATTTCTGGAGTGTCATTATCCCTTGGGAGATGATTATTGTTGTTTGGTGCCATTGAGTTGGTACTGACGCATAACGACCTTATGCACAGCAGAACGAAACACTGTCCGATCCTGGGCCAACCTCAATACTGTTGTCACGCTTAAGCCCATTGATGCTGCCACTTTGCCAATCCATCTCACTGGGGGTTTTCCTCTTTTTCTCTGACCCTCCACCTTACCAAACATGATATCTTTCTCCAGCGACTGGTCCCTTCTGACAATATGTCTTTATTTGAAAACTCTAGACCCAAGGAATGAGAAAGGCTGTGTGTCTGTGGGCAGAAGACTTCAAAATGTGCCCTTTGGTAATTTAAATGAATATGTATTTTCTGTGTGTTTTGTGTACATCAAAAAAAGGTGGGGGGGGGGAGGATAGAGGTGAATTCTGTTTCTGTTAACCGATAGTGCCTAGAAAGGATTGTAATCATTGCAATGAAACAAGGTATGATTGGTTGCGTGTGAAATTGATGATCTGCCCTGTAAACTGTTACTCTTTCACAAAAGCGTTAAAAATAAATAGATAAAAACAGACTAGGAAGCAGAATTGTTGTTAAGTTGTTGTTGTTGTTCTTGTTAAGTGCCATCGAGTTGGTTCTGACCCATAGTGACCCTATATAGGGTTTCCGAGGAGCAGCTGGTGAGCTTGAACCACTGACCTTGCAGTTCAAATGGCTTTGCAATCTGGAGTATTAACCCACAGTGCCACACCAGGACTCCTGTTGTTAAGTACAGTCCAGTAAAAGAAAAGAAAAATACTCTTAATGGAAAAGGTTTTAAGTGTTCCATATTACAACTTGTTGGGGGGGGGGGGAATTCATTAATCAAATATTCTAGCAAAGAGGCAACCTTTTAAAGTATATTTTCCAGAATATTATTAAATATGTTATTATTATTCTTAAGTGCCTTCAAGTCAGTTCTGACTCATAGTGACCCTGTATAGAACAGCTGGTGGGTTTCAAACAGCCAATCTTGTGGTTCACAGTCCAGTGCTGATCCTACAACATGCCAGCAGTCCCCACATCAACATTCTTGTTGTTGTTAAGTACTGTTGAATCAGTTCAGACTCATAGCAAGACTGTATAGGGTTTCTGAGGAGCAGCTGGTGAATTTGAACCATGAACCTTGAGGCTCAAACTAACCTTGTGGTGGAGTGCTTATTCAATAGCACTACACCAGAACTCCACATCAACATAGTGAAATGTAAATATAATGGTGTAAAAGTTAACTCAAATATGGACCAAGAAATAAAGGCACATCTTGGAACAAAAAAGGACATTTTTGAAGTTGTTAATCAAGTCTTGGGATCTGGTGCAGGCCAGAGTTTGCACCTCCTTGACACCATCAGCAGAGGTAGCTGTGAAGTAGAATAAGGCCTGAACAGATAGGGACATCCCCATACTGACAGGATCAAAATGGAAGGGAATCCTTATTTCATTTGTTTCTATCTTTGTTGACTTGCTTATACTCGTATATGTTTTATCCCACTGGGAGAAACTTAGAAAAGCAGTTTATAATGATTTCATTTAAAAAAAACTACTTTGTGGCTTAGAAAGTGTGCTATCTCCCTTTATATGATGTTCACAATAACTTTTAAGTAAAATAGATAATTCCTCTTATCCTAATTTTTAAGCCTATAAAGGCCATTGAGATTTAGCTGGCAGGCAACCATCCTGGAGTTAGTAGGTGACCATGCCAGGATTGAAACACCCTAATTTCATACAGATGTCAAATCCAGCAAGCTTTCCTCTAATATGCCATATTTATAAAACTGAAAGCAAGCACCAGTAATGTGAGTTTTCATGTTCACTGAATTCAGGGTTATGTAAGTGAACGTGCATAGTTATTTTGACCACCACTTTAAAGTTTATGCTATTTCTTTAACGGACTAAAAGACAATTTAAAAAATATTTAGCCTCAGTAAACTTCTCAAAGAAGAGCTTTCCAATATGAAATTTGACAAGAAATGAAATAAAACTCGATCATAATTGTCCTTTCGATTTATAAACTTAATTCTTACTTAAAATGAAATTAATTAGGTAATTATAAGTAACACGCTCTAAAATTCTGTGATATATGCTTCTTGTTGTCAATTGCTGTTAAGTCTGTTCTGACTCATTCCTCTACAAGTAAGGACCGACTCGATGGCACATAACAACAACAACAACATAGGGTTTCCAAGGCTGTAAATCTTTGTGAGAGCAGAAAGCCTCATCTTTCTCCTGTGGAGCAGCTGTTAAGCTCCAACCACTGTATTGTGGTTTGCAGTTCATTGCTTACCCTATAGAACAACCGTGTTCCCTGTGATATATGCTTAGTGTTTAAATATTCTTGTGCTCTTTTAAAGATATCAATACTTAAAAGTCAATTTATATTGAAATAGACAGGAATATGTATCTCAGCTCTGTTTTGTTCAGATGTTATTTCTGCAAAAAAATCACTCTACCAGACACACATTAGTACAATAAGCCTTTTCAGTTTGCCTAAGATTGAGGAGTTTCTGGAACATGGGACTTTCAGAGTTAAAGCTGGGTCAGTCCCAGGCAACCCAAGATAGCTGGTCATCCTAGCACACACATGGATAAATAAATGAATACACATACATAGTCCTGGTGTGACCATTTAGGATTAGCACTGGACTGATAACTAAAGAGCCACTGGTTCAAACCCACCAGCTACACTTTGGAAACCCTATGCAGAGTCACTAAACATCAGGACTGACTCAAGGGCAATCAATAACAAAATAAATATGTATTATATATCTATAGCATATATTTTGCACACACATACTCTTTATCTCCTAATAACTTGATCCATCCTTCACAATTTATTATACCTCAGAAAATATGTTAATAAATGATAACTGCTTGCCAAGCAAACATGCTGATACTTTACACGTTACTTTTTCCCCCTTTTACAAACACTGTAAATTCTAAGACTCATTAAATACTACTACTGAATAATTTTTAAAACACCAAAAAAAAAAAAATACACCCATTTCCTGGGTGTCTGTGAAATGTATTTTCTGAATATAGGGCATGAATGTTTTGAGAATGTAAAGTTCATCGTCTTTTTTATTTAAAAAAATGAAAGTTATTGAATGAGGTGAGGATTAGATTAGACAGCCAATCAAGAGAACATCAGAGAGAACAGAGGTGTATTTTTCACTCATGTAAAAGAAGTCCAGAGACAGACAGCTCAGGGCTGGTGTGGCAGCTTCACAACCATCAGTAACCCAAGTGTCTTCTATATTGTACTAAATCTCATGGTCTAAGGTGGATGCTGAAAGTGCCACACTCTAGTGAGTCAGAAAAGAAGCTCTGGTAGCGTAGTGGTTATGAATCGGGCTGCGAACCTCAACTCAAGGTCAGCAGTTCGAAACTACCAGCTCTTCCACCGGAGAAAGATGAGGTTTTATGCTCCTGTAAAGATTTACAGCCTCAGAAACCCTGTACAGGGTTGCGATGAGTCGGAACTGACTCCACGGCACATAACAACAACAATGAGTCAGAAAGAGGAAGGGAAAAAGAAGTTCATACAGATCTAATTCATGCTGAAGCTTGTGGGAAAGAAATGTAAATTTACTGAGCTCTGCCTGAGGTTAATTCCAGTATTCCTATTTCCAACTGAGAGTTCAGTTCATATAGACAATGAATGGCTACAAAGGAATTTGCACCTGCAACCTTGAATTATGCGATCTCTCAGAGTCAGATGGCACCTAACAACAACAACAACAACAGAGTCAGAGACTGACCTGACAACTCATAATGGGGCAAAATTTCCTTAGAGACTCATCAGCCTGGTTTTATGTATGATACTAGTGGGATAAAGCTATACCTATGCCATGGTATTTTCACAGATTCTCAGATCCATGGCATTTTATTGCTGAAATGCACTAAGACTCTAACTCATTTTTCAGAGAAGACCGAGGACTTGAGTAACTTGTCTGCGGATACCCAGTTAGTAACACAACTGGCCCATTAGGGCGCCTACTTTTAGTCTCATAGACTGAAATGGCTATGAAATAGCCTGGTGTTGTTCAGACCCTATGCGTAGGCAGATACATCATCACTGTGGTTCTACCATATTTCCCATTGACATTCAGAAACAAAGTTGTGATATTTCCTCAAATACTCTTCTTTTAATAAGCCCCTATGGAGTCCTGGTGTGGTGCTATAGGTTAATGTGCCAGACTGCAAAGCCATTTGAACTGCAAGGTCGGCAGTTCAAGATCACCCGGTACTCCTCAGAAACCGTATACAGGGTCACTGTGGGTTGGAACCAACTTAACAACAACATGTAGAACCTACAGAAGAATACTAGCTCTCCGATGTGCAGCGTATAAGACTTGACTGTCCTCCCCTTCATGAGCAGAGAAGAGAATAAGTATACTTTTAGAACCAGAGTTATTGTTTCTTTTCAGGTTTCTTAGATATCCCCTAATAACAATACTAAGCCATTACTTGTGTGCATCACGTGTATCTGGGGGAATACTAATAATTGCTGTACTTTCTATTCATGAGCTCTATAAACTCAATCATCAAACTAGAAGGAACAGAGAGATCCTCAGCTCCTCAATTCCTTGATTTCTCAGTTCAGAAAACTAAAACCCAGAGAGAGGGATTGACTTAACTGGGATTATATTTCTTGTTTATGAATTTAAGGGAGTCACATTTTAATACAACTCTACGGTGTATGTCTAACAACATTTACTGTTTATATAATAGATTCATTTCTGAAAACTGTTATCTACATTAGATGAAAAAAGTATGGATTTTCTCCAAAACATCTTAAATGCACAATTAGACAACATGATCTAGTTGTATAAAACATTTTATTTACAGTAGAGCTTTAAAAAATAGTTTTAATAAAATTAATACAAAACCATTTTACAATATAACTTATACAACTATCTCCCCCCAAAAAACAACAACATTCGATTATAACATGTAAACTACAATTATATTTGTTAAGTCACAGTGTAGTATAAATATGTTTTATCATTTTTTTATGATAAGATACATAACAATAAAAATGAATATTGAACAACAAATGTTATTTTGTTATTCTTCCAATGTACAATTCATCTCTGGCCCAAACAAAATTAACCAAAGCAAAATAAAACAATTGTTCTTCTGTTAAAAAAATACAGTCCTTTTTAATTATTTGAATCTATGTGACAAGGAGACAGCTTTAATTTGAAAGCACCATGACATAAAGTCTAGTAACAATATCCCCAAAGCCTTCTCCAATATTTTCCCTTCAACTGCTTATTCAGTATTTTGCCAAGATAAATAAAGATCATCTCAACTCTTCCCCTTCATTAGTCTCAAGTGTTCTTATTATGCATTGAGGTTTTTAGACCTTCCCAAATGGCATATATTTAAAACATAAGTTTCTTTCTTTGGCTTCAAGTCGAGTTTCACAATCATTACAAGATGTACTGAGCTCCTCCATGTGGCTGGATCTCTGTGACTCCCCACCCAACAACATTTCCCCGGATGTGACAAGACTCCTCCCCTCCAGCCTCTCTTATCTCTTCATGGCTGAGAACATGATCCCAAATATTGAAGCCAGTGAGTCTTCCAGAAAAGGCTAAGGTTTCATCAAAGCCACCGCCCACACAACAGCCGTTCTTTTCTTGGCCTATCTGCAGGATTCCTCCCTCAGGAACTACGTGACCTGGGGCTATCTTGACAGTGGTAGCTGCCAGTTCTCCATTTACCCACAGGGACAAGCGCCCTATCTCTGAATTCCAGGTGCCACACAGATGGGTCCACCTTCCTAGGGAAATCAAAGTATCAGCAACCAGTTTGTTCTCGTCTCCACCCACCACAAGTACTGTGGTCTGATAGCTGAGGTACAGCTGGATCTCATATGGATTCCTCTTGGTGCCATAGGAAAACAGAATGGTTTTGTTTAAAATATCTGTGGCTTTGACCCAAAGGCATGCACTAAAAGACTCAAGCTTCATTGGTGTCATTGGATGCACGCTTCCAAAAATCTTCTTGGAACGCATCGGGAATAAAATCGCTGTTTCACAGCCTACAGTGGCAATAAAGTAAGAAGAAGAATATGAGAGAAAATATAAATTCATTGAGAAATTTTTATGACATTTAATAATTTTAGCATGGGCACTTTAATGACTACAATAAGACATTACATGCAGTATCAAATTATGACTTGAAGAGCCTCTAGTGTAATCTCTTAATAGAAAACAAGAATAAGGAAAGTTAATTTTCTTATTCAAATAAAGTATTTAAACAAAGAAGGTGTGCTGGGGAGGAAAATAGTCCAAATCCACAAAATAATGAAAAATATGTTTTAATAATGTCTTCCATACACAATCAGCCTATTTTCTTTTCAGATATTTGGTGTGTTTTTGTTTGTTTTTTAATGTTGATTACTAAGCTAACTCCAGGCAATGATAATATAATTTCCAAGTATTTAGAGCCATGTCCATTTCCCTCTCTTTGTCTTCACTAAGCTTCTAGAATAACCAGTTGCTGTCTATTTTGATGCATGGTGATCTCATGTGTGTCAGAGCAGAGTTGTGTTTCATAGGGTTTTCAGTGGATGATTTCTTGGAAATGGATTTCCAGGACTTTCTTTCGAGGTACCTCTGGGTGAACTCGAATCTCCAACCTTTCTGTTTGTACCACCCAGGCACTCCTCTAGAATAATAAAACTAGGAATTCAATGGACCCAGCTCACTTTATTTAGCCATTGCTAGCATGCATTTAAAAAAAACAAAACTCTAGAATAGTCATGGTGTTGTTAAATACATTTAAAAATATCTCATAATCTCAGATCTTTATAAACGGCACAAAGGTAGAAAACTACCTTTGAATGACAAACCATGTTGAGAGGTAATAATAGTGTTTGTTGGGTGCTTACTGTGCATGCTGGGTACTATTCTAATTACTTTGCATGTTACTTAATCCTCATATTAACCATGAAACAAACAACAAAACCACTGCCATTGAGTAAATTTTGACTCACTTGTTGTTAAGTACCATTGAGTCACTTCTGACTCATTGTGACCCTGTAAAGGTTTTCGAGAAGAGACGGGTGAGTTTGAACTGCCGACCTTGTGGTTCAAACCAACCTTGCGGTCGAGTGCTTATCCTACAGCGCCACACCATATCTAATATAGTGTTTCCAAGGCTGTAAATCTTTATAGAAGCAGAAAACCTCATCTTTCTCCTGAGGAGTGGTTGTTAGATTTGAACTGCCGACCCTATAGTATGCAGTCCAGGGCTTATCATACATTGCTACCAGGGCACTGTCTTTTTGCCCCTGTTTTACAGATGGAAAAACTAAGAGATAGCAGGCTATATAATGTGTTTATGATTACATAATTGTTAAAGTGGCAAAACTGGGATTTGAAAGTTAGCAGTCTAGCTGCAGAGGCCACTCTATTGTCCTTTAATAAAAAATTTGGCTAGAAGAGCTGGAGTTTCTAACTAAAGAGTTGTGAAGCTTTTGACAAGCCCCTAATCTCTCTAGGCTTTTGTGTTAGCTATAAAAGACCCGTCCATTCTGCTTCTATGGAGCTCTGGTAGTGTAGTGGTTATGAATTGGGCTGAGAACCACAAGGTCAGCAGTTCGAAACTACCAGCTGTTCCACGGGAGAAAGATGAGGTTTTCTGCTCCTGTAAAGAGTTATGGAAACCCTGTTCAGGGTCGCTATGGGTCGGAACTGACTCGATGGCAATTAACAACAACAGCAATTCTGCTTCTAATATTCTATGACTCTGTAAGCAACAATTAAGTAGCATTCGAGAAGAGTTGTGGAGATGGAGGATATCCTTAAAAATTCCTACCTTGTCGAAATGCTTCTAACTATTACTTGAATACTACTAATAAAAATAATGAGTCCTGGTGTGGCACTGTGGGTTAATGTGCCTGACTGCAAAGCCCTTTGAACTACAAGGTCGGTGGTTCAAGCTCACCAGCTGCTCCTCGGAAACCCTATACAGGGTCACTGTGGGTTGGAATCGACTCAACGGCACTTTAACAACAACAGTAAAAATAAAATACTTAAGAGAAAATTTCCAACGGGCCCAGTGGACCATGTGTTCCTAGTAAAGAGCATTTAGGAATAGGGAGCTTTTCAAATCTGGGGTTTGGAGCTCAGCCATCTCCTCACCTCTGTCCATCTCAAAGCCACATAGCCAATAGGGGAGCTGGGGATGTGAGTGAAACCTTCTAGGTGTCTCTGGGAAGTAATGATGCTAAACCCTTTAATAGGTGAGCTCTGCTGTGTGTTAACTTCATATATGAAAGCCCAGATAAAGGATTTTTAAAATAATAATAAATTAGGACTAAGCATTCACTTTAAGGAGCTCTGGTAGCATAGTGGTTACAAATCGGGCTGCGAACCTTAAGGTCAGCAGTTCGAAACTACCAGCCGCTCCGCGGGAGAAAGATGAGGCTTTCTACTCCCGTAAAGATTTACACCCTCGGAAACCCTGTACAGGGTCACTATGGGTCAGAACCGACTCGACGTCACTTAACAACAACAAGCATTCACTTTATAAGAAGCCCTGGTGGTATAGTGGTTAAATGCTAAGCTGAAAACCAAAAGGTCAGCAGTTTGAAACTACCAGCTGCTTCACGGAAGAAAGATATGGCTGTCTGACCCTGTAAAGATTTACAACCTTGGAAACATTTCTACTCTGCCCTGTGAGCTGGAAACAGCTAGACAACAGTGAGTTTGGGTATTCACTTTACAGCAACCTGGATGCCATGGATACTTTTGAAAAGCAAACTTTTAGAGCATTTAAAGACTAACGCTGGTGTACCACCATGAGATAAGCACTGGGCTACTAACCCCAAGGTCAGAGGTTCAAACCCACCAACTGCTCCTCAGAAACCCTATAGAGGGTCGCTATGAGTCAGAACCTACTTGACGGTACTTAACAAGAACAATAATAAGATAGAGTACTGGTATGGTGTTGTAGCTAACAGACTTGCTAACAGTAAGGTAGGTGGTTCAAAACCCAGCAGCCTCCCCTTAGAAATGCTGTTGTTGTTGTTGTTAGGGGCCATCAAGTCGGTACCAACTTATAGTGACTCTATGCACAGCAGAACGAAATACTGCCCGGTTCTGGGCCAACCTCACAATCATTACTATACTTGAGCCTATTGATGCTGCCACTTTGCCAATCCATCTCGCTGGGGAGCCTTCCTCTTTCTCTCTGACCCTCCACCTTACCAAACATTATGTCCTTCTCCAGTGACTGGTCCCTCCTGACAAAAGGGTCATTATGAGTCAAAACCAACTCATTGTGGCAATTAACAACAACAACAACAGTAGATAGGCAGGAACCAAACAGCTGTGTGAAATATGATACGCTATGTCAAACTTCAGCATAGAGTTCTGGACAAGACTGCTCCCCCGCCCCCACCCAAAAAAATTTAAATAGAAATGAACCTTCTCAGTAACAAAGAAAATACTTAGATTCAGAAAATGACTTCATAGAAGCTATAATACAAAAGCACAAACTGTTCCTGTCATTGTTTTGTATTAACTTATTCTCTAAATAGTTAGAATTTTCAAAGTTTTTAAAAAAATGAATTTTAAGCAAGGCGTTGGTTTTCACTGTTCAAATGAAATTGCTTGATAAATTTTCTCTTGCTTGCAAATAAAGATTATGGAACAGAAAATCACCAAATCCACAGGCATTTGAGATATTCTCTGTCATGGTTCAGTAAAGTGGCATGCAAAAGGATGCCTACTGCAATCTACTTCACCGATTTCTTGTTTAAATAAGCCCAGGCAGTCAGGATTACATTCCAAAGGGTTTCCTGCTTGCAGTTCACAGACCCAGTTTCCTCTCTAGGTTCTATTGCCTAAATGACTTCATGGAGTAAAACTGTATTTGGCAATTGTTTTGTTTTGATTTGCTTTGGTTTTTCTGTGGGTTTCAGTTGGGGATCAGTGATTGAGGCTACTGAGATTTCTTGAAAATGTCAGAAACTCTCTCATAAAATGGCTTTTCAACTAATGTTTTTTTCTGATTATATTATCAAACACCAAACAAAATTAAAACCACTTTCTTAGAAGGCCGACAACAGAATGATTATGAATCACTTAAGAGCCAAACTGGCAGTAGCCCAAGAGGAGCCTATCAAAGCATGTGGCTAAAAATAATATTGGATGAAATAAGAAATTAACATTTAGAATCCAGAAGCACTTTCCTCTCTAAGTAGCATGCAGAGCTGAAGATGAGAATTAAGGTAATTCCTCAGTTTTTTTCTGGCACGTACAATGGTTTCTCACATTTGCAAACATGAAATTTTCATTCTATTAAAATAGGAACATGTTAATTTGTCTCCTTATCAACTTACATTGGTAATATACTCTCTAATATGATTTTATGCTTTCCCTCTCTAAAGTCCTACTTAAAATTTTAGAAACCTGTTCTGCGCTGAGAAGTTCCCAAGTAGTTAGAAAAGGCTAATATCCTGGTATAGTGTCTGAAATTTTAAATGAAACAGGCTCTCACATATGCTTAGAAGTATTCCCTCCAGTGATTCCATCCAATAACAGTTGTTCTAACAAAAAAATAGGGAATGGCAGTATTTAAGTTTTTCTGAGGTTCCCATAAAAAGCTTAAATTTCCTAGGACAGTGATTTTTTTAAATACAACCCCAAAACGAGTTTTACATTATTTCTTAGAAATTTTGACACAAAAAGAATCTGCATATTCTATTTCTTTTGACCATGCTTTAAATGTATTATTTTGGTAACCTATGTCTGTTTGGAGACTTTGACAAATTACATCTGGTTTGGAACCAACTCTCTTTCCTTTGACCCTGATTCTCTGATTCTCCTGGGTGGGGGTCTCTAATTCCAGTTGGCTCCAATACCTGACCTATTCCACAAGAATCCTTCAACTCCCCTCTATCCTCATAGCACACCCTCAGCCCTCCAGACTAGGGGCTGGGGACCCCTCAGGAATTCTTGCAGACCTTGCAGGAGATCAGATTCCACTTCTTACTTAGAGAGGGCTGGGAGGAGGGGCCTGCCAAGAAGTTGGAAAACATCCCTGAAACGTTAGTCCAGGCCCTGAAATAGCGCTAGGAACCAGAGATCCCCTAAAGGGGGAGGCAGACTAAAATTAGAAGAAGTGGAAATCTCTAACTGAGGAAACAAGGCGATGAGGGGGGTCATGGTTATTGCTTGCTAGCAGAACTCCTGCAATGCCTAATTAGATCGGGTGTCTAGGGCCCTCGATGTCTATTTCAAGTTTCAAGTATTTCAAGACTGAGGTGGTACCTTCCACAGCTTTTTTTTTTTTTTTTTGGTTCATCAAAGTGCGCCACACTTTTTTTAAAGAGACTTTTCCTGCCTTGTATGTGTCTGAACTTTGCGCATGCAGAAACAGATATCCGTGTGTGCGTTTCCTTTACTAAACTTCGCCTGCCTAGAATGTTGCTTGACTTAGATTCCCGCCATGTCCTGGAAAGGAGCCATCAGGGAGGGGAGCTCCTCGCTGGGCCTGACGTCCTTACCTGCGGGCAGCCAACGCCCAGCCGCCCAGTCACGTAGAGCTCGGAGATCAGCTCTTGTCTGCTGCAGCTCTGCGAGCGCCAGACTCAGTGCGCGCCCCGCCTGCTCCGGCCGCTGTGCGGCGGCACCCTCCAAGCGCGCCAGCCTGTGGCTGGCGTCCCGGCTTGTTTGCAGCAGCTCGTCCAGCGCCCGCGCCAGCCTGGTATCCGCTGGGGCCGCTGGAGCGCTCGGCCTCGACAAGCTGCTCGCTAGCCGGCCCAACTCAGTCCGCAGTCTCTGCAGCTCGCCCCGGAGGACTTCGTCCATGGCCTGCAGCAGCATGCCCTCTCTCATCTGAGAGTTCTCCAGCATGATGAAGAGCTTGTCCCACTCAGAGTGCTCCGGACGGCAGTCGCACGGCGTGGCTAGAGCGCGGGACACACACACACACGTTTTACGAACCCGCGCGGGCCTTCCTTGGGTGAGCTTTGTAAAAAGCTGACCTCCCTCGGTAGTCCCAAATTACAACCCCCAGCACCTCTGTTCCCTTAAAGACACTTTCTGTAAAACACTGTGTAAATCCCTCTAAAGTGGCACCGAAACTACTCATTCAGATATACAATCGATTGAATTTATGTAATTAGCGCTTTTATAGTACAAAACAGTCGAATGTCGGCAAATGCATGCAATTTAATTCACTTTGTACCTCTTATAAACATATCTTTTGTAATTTTTCCTTTCCAAAAGGATTTCTGTTGTTTGCAAAACAAATCTTATTTTTAGCTCATTTCAATGGCTGCAAAATATATGCACACTTCTTAGACCCGATGAAATAGATGGCTGTTATAGTTCAGGTTAGCAGAGAAACCGTCACAATGAACTTACGGTCTTCAGTGGAATGGATTCCATTGTCTATTTCGTTGTCCAAATTCACATACATGAGCTCATAATCCTCCGAGTTCTCTGCAGACGCTGCACTCCAGAGAGCACAAAACAGAATTGCAGGGAGATGCATAGCAGAAGAGAGACAAAGTTCCTCTGAGACGTTCCACAGTTGACTGGAGGGGACAAGGCAAGAGGTTCTCAAGCTGGTGGGTTTGGGGTAGATGGAAGAAAGCGAGAGTGAGAAGCAGGAGTGGAGCGCCCTTAATAAATGCTGGGGAAAGCCTGAATGGGGATGAATGAGTAATGCCGGTGGCACTGTAGGAACCGGAGTTTCCCTGGATTTGCGGGGGAGGGGGCTGAGTGGGAGAGGAGAGAGTTGTGTAAGTTGTACCATATTAAACCGCAAATACTTATACTGCAGTCAGATGAATTGGAGTATTAGAGGTGTAGAGAAGGGAAAATGGACCAAAACAGTTTTCCCCTGAGGATTAGATTATGTAATTGGAATTGCTAGCACTTATGAAAGAAGGCAGTCTCAGGACAGGGGAAGAAATAATTCAGCAGAGATAGCGATGGGAAGGCAAGATAACCATTCCAGCGTTTTATATGCTGTTATTTTGTTATTTCACAACCTGTCATGTATAGAGAAATTTTCCCCCACTTTTTGCTTTCCTTAGACTGCTAGACAGGTCTGAGTAGTGAAAAGTTACTGAATATAAGATGAAACAATGTAGTAAGAATTTCTATGACATTGGAAGCTAAATCCACGAGTTGTCTTAAATCCTTCTGAGTTCTACTATATTTTTATTAACACAAATTTTAAATAATAAAACATCAAAATGGATAAATCTAAAGAGGGGCCAAGCAGGGGGAAAGGTATGAACTGATTTTAGAAATCTTTCTTTTCAGAGTGTGGTAGTAACATGGAAATTATATTATTTCACGAAGCTTAGCAGCAAAGATCATATGTTAAAAGAAAATTTAGGGATTGTCACTTCTACCAGTATACTAACATAAACTGAAAACCTACCTGTAAGAAACACCTAAAAATATGTCCACATTATAATAACTTTGAATGTACAAACAAAGTCCCAATAAAGTCAGGGAATTTCTCAGTGACCAAAGATAAAGTATGGTGGTATAGGGTCAGCACTGGACTTCAAACCACAAGTTCGGCAGTTCAAACCCAACAATCGCTCCTGGGAAACCCTATACAGGGTCACTATGAGTCAGAATTGACTGGATGGCACTTACCTACAACAAAGATAAAGAGGAGACCAAAACCAAACAATAAGTCTATAAGCTGATTCTGGGGCCCCCTTGAATTGACAGTAAAGGAATTTGGAGGATTATCAGTTCTGAAACTAAGGAACTTGGGTGATAAAGGCCATGTGGGGGCAAAATTGATGCACAGTATGAGAAATTAGAAATGAGATCCTCCCATAAAGCTGGGATGCTCAGACTCCATTAGGCATAATCACCCTTTGCCCTAGCACAGGAAAGTGAGAAGGAATGGTAGACTTCTTTGATGTAATTTTAACCATTCCATAAATCACTTCAAGGAGTCCTAGTGCCACAGTGGAGTCCTGGTGTGGTGCTGTGGGTTAATGTTTCAGACTACAAAGTTGCTTTGAACTGTAAGGTTGGCGATTCAAGCTCACAGCCGCTCCTTAGAAACCCTATACAGGGTTAGAACCAACTGGAAGGAATTTAACAACAACAGTGCCACAGTGGGTTAAGTATTGGGCTGAAAACTATAAGTTTGATGGTTCAAACCCACCAGCTGTTCCCATAAGGATTTACAGTATCAGGAATTCCAAGGAACAAATCTTCTCTATCCTAGGACCTGCTGTTATACATCCTGCAATATATCAGAAATGAATTTACAATAAAAAAAAACACTTAAACATGTGAGGAAACAATGCACCATAAGATAGAATTGTTGCTGTTGTTGTTAGGTGTCATTGAGTCGATTCTGACTCATAGCGGCCTTACGCACAACAGAATGAAACAGTGCCCAGTCCTGCACCATCCTTATAATCATTGTTAAGCTTGAGCCCATTGCTGCTGCCATTGTACCAATACATCTCATTGGGGGTCTTGTCATTTTCGCTGACCCTCCACTTTACCAAGCATGGTGTCCTTAACCAGGAACTGGTACCTCCTGATAGGATGTCCAAAGTATGAGAGATGAAGTCACATCATCCTGGCTTCTAAGAAGCATTCTGGTTGTACTCTTTCCAAAACAAATATGTTTATTATTCCGGCATCCCATGGTACTTTTTATATTCTCCTTCAACTCCATAACTCAAATGCATCAATTCTTCTACTTTGTCTCTTATTCGTTGTCTAACTTACACATGCATATGAAACTATTGATCATACCATGGCTTGTGTAAGATGCACCACAGTCCTTAAACTGACTGACATTTTGTGCATGAACACTTTAAAAAGGTCTTGTGCAGCAGATTTGCGTAATGCAATAAATTATTGGATTTCTTGACTGTTGCTTCCATAAGTTTTGATAATGGATCCACGCAAAATGAAGTCTTTTACAATTTCAATCTTTTCTCCATTTATCATGATGTTATTTATTGTTCCAGTGGTGAGAATTTTTGTTGTCATTACAATGAGGTGCAACCCCATCAAAGGCTGCAGTCTTTCATCTTCAGCAGTAAGTGTTTTAAGTCCTCTTTGCTTTCAGCAAGCAAAGTTGTATCATCTGCATATTGAAGGTTGTTAATGAGTCTTCCTCCAATTCTTATACCACTTTCTTCTCTATATAATCCAGCTTCTCAGATTAGTTGCTCAGCAAATAGATTGAATAAATATGGTAAAATAATACAACTTTGGTGCATACCTTTCTTAATTTTAAACCATTCAGTGTCCCCTGGTTCTGTTTGAATGACTGTCTCTCATCTATGTACAGGTTCCTCATGAGCACAATTAAGTGTTCTGAAATACTCATTCTCCACAGTGTTATCCATAGCTTGTCATGATTCACGTAGTCAAAAGTCTTTGCATAGTAAATAAAGCATAGGTAAACATTTTTCTGGCATTCTCAGCTTCAGCCAAGATCCATCTGATGTCGGCAATGGCATCCCTCGTTCCACATCTTTGTCTGAGTCCGGCTTGAATCTCGTGCAGTTTCCTGTCAATGTACTGTTTGTTGCAGTTGCTTTTGAATTATCTTCAGCAAAATTTTACTTGCATGTGTTGTTTATGATATTGTCCCATGATTTCCACATTCCAATGTGGAATGGGCACAAATATGGAAAAAATTTTAAATGTTAATTAAAATTTAAAACCCCAATGAATGGATTAGCAAAACAGACAAAGCTGAAGAGTATTAATGAACTGAATGACAGAACTAAAAAACAATTCCAAAGTATTCTTTTTATATTCAGTAAAGTATCCTGGGAAACCTTGGTGGTACAAATAGTTAAACACTGAACCACTAATCAAAAGGTTAGTGCTTCAAACCCTCCCAGAGGCATCTCATAAGTCAGACTCAATCTGCTTTTAAAATATCATAGCCTTGAAAACCATATGGAGCCATTCTAGGGACACTATGCTTGGTTAAATCAAGGGTCATTGAAATGCAAGAAACTATCAATGAGCTAGGTTGACTGATATAGCTGATAGAGCCACAACAATGGACCCAAACAATCATGAAGATAGTGCAAGACCACACAGTGTTACTTTCTGTAGTATATAAGGTCACCATAAGTAGTTAATTCAATGACAACTAAGTGCCCTAAAGATAATTTCTTTGTTCAGAAGAATCACAGACAAATTAATCTTGCTCTGTTGTTGTTGTTGTTGTTGTTAGGTGCCATCGAGTTGGTACCGACTCATAGTGACCCTATGCACTGCAGAACGAAACGGTGCCTGATCCTGGGCCAACCTCACTACTGTTGCCACACTTGACTCCATTGATGCTGCCACTTGGTCAATCCATCTCGTTGGGGGTCTTCCTCTTTTTCTCTGACCCTCCTCCTTACCAAACATGATGTCCTTCTCCCAAGTCTGAGCCCTCCTGACAGTATGTCCGAAGTATGAGAGACGAAGTTTGGCCATCTTGGCCTCCAAGGAGCACTCTCTAGGAAAATCACTGAAGAATAAAACGAAATAGAGCTTCAAGGAAGAGGAGTGGTGATTATGTGCTGTGGAGTTGGTACTAACTCATAGCTTTCCTGAAAAGGATTTCTAAGGCTATATAGATCTTTACGGGAGCAAAAAGCCTCATTGTTCTCCTTTGTAGCTAGCTGCTAGATTCAAACTGCTGATCTTGAGGTTAGCAACCCAACTTGTAACCCACTATGCTACTAGAGTTCCCTAAGTAGAAGGAATAGAGGGAAATTAAAAAAAAAAAAAAAGCAACAACCTAGGAAGCAGGGAAGGCACAACATTATAAATGTGTCAATAATTAAGAAGGTGAAATTAAGAGACAAAAGTCCAATATGGATATTTTAAAGATCTAGTTACATATCATTTACAAAAGCCACACAAATAAATTATAAGAAATTACATATATTGAAAGTAAAATTTTTTTTAAATGGGGAAGAAAGACAAACAACTACCGTTCCCAAGGAGTCCTGGTGTGGGGCTGTAGGATAAACACTGGACTACTAACCACAAGGTGGGCAATTTAAACCCACCAGCTTCTCCTGGGAAACCCTATATAAGGTCGCCATGAGTTGGAACCAATTCGATGGAACTTAAACAACAACAACACTGTTCCAAAAAGCTTTTATAGCTTTAGTAATGTTGTTTTTGCTAAGTGCTGTCAAGTCAGTTCCAACCCATAGTGACCCTGTCCGAGGCTGTAAATCTTTACGGGAACAGAAAGCCTCATCTTTCTCCCGCAGAGCAGCTGGTAGTTTCAAACTGCTGACCTTAAGGTTCACAGCCCAATTCGTAACCACTACGCTACCAGAGCTCCTTATAGAAATACTAAGGGAAAAAATAAAATTTTAGATTAAAGAAGGTAAATAATTAAATCATGAATTAAAAAATTAAAAAGACATTACCAGGAAGATATTGTCTCAGGATTATCTATTAGCATAGTTTCAAAAACTATATAGCAAAGATGGACATCTATAGGAGAAAATGGCAAATGCATAATCATGA